GATTTTTGAGATGAATTGACAGAAAAAATATATGATTTTTATTTTGTTTAATGTGTTACTGTTTAAACTTACTTTTAATTCTTAGTCAGGCAATACCTGTCATATTAAAATATATTAGAAACAAACTTGAAAAACTGATTTTTGTATTTTTATGCACGCGTCTACATAAATTAGCTCTATTTTTTTTATGAATGCTTTGAGAATACATTTTTCTTAAATCAAACCAACGGCTATTTATTCGTTTTCCGAGAAAAAAAAGAGGAAAAAAAATATTTTCTTTGAAAATGCCGTGTGTTTCTTGGTTTTTTTTTTTATCCTTTAATCAAGTATAGAATGAAGCAGCTGAATGATTCAATGGATTAGTAAAACAAAAAGTAGGAATTAATGTCAAAGTAAATTTTTAAACTTACACGTAACAGTACAACTTTTCATTCACGGTCAATAATTTCAACGGTTCTTCTAACTGTCGATAGTTCTTGATTAAAGAAAAGAAAGAATACAAATTTGCTAATTTTTACAATGCTCTTATTTACGTAATAAATTCTCTTCTTTCTTCGGATAGTACCATAGTTTTGTATATTTATTTGTTCATAAGATTTATTTAGTAGAAAGAATAATGATAGACTATGGATATGTTCTCTTATATAGAAGGACATCGAATCAAGGCTATCCTCTTATTACAAACGAAGTGTGTATTAATTATTGACACAACAATATTAAAATAGATTGATCATTTATTTATTATCAGTACTTTTTTTTTTAAAACTAATTACCCATAAAAGAAAAGAATGGATTTCGGTACGGCAAGGACACTATAACACTCATTTTAAATAAATAATGTTCACAAACAACAAGTATTTCCACATGTGTTTGTATATATATATATATATATATGTGTGTGTGTTTAATTAAAATAAACTATTTGATGTAGAAAAATGGAATGAATAGATTATCTCTTTACAGGTTTGGAAAATAAACTGAAATTATCGTTTGATGATAATGGTAAAACTGTAAAGAATAAAATTGAAAATCAAATCTCTCATGTAGAACAACAAATACCGTATTCATTAAATCCATCTCAAAAATTATTAGTTGCAAATTCATCCCGAACAAACGAACGTGCATCATTTAGTTTAGAAGCAACGTTAGATCAAGAAAGACAATTTTCAAAAAAATTAAATGGAAATGTTCAACAAGAAAAAGATGACGATGATGGAAGTAGTGATGAAATTGTTTATAGTTGTGCACTATCCGAAGAAAATGAAACTAGTTCTAATTCGTCAATGGATGATAATGAATTATCAGATCAAGATGACGATTCTTTACCATTGGATGATGATGATGATTCTGTATTAAAATCAGATACATCAAAAAGTAATTCAAATGGTGTATCTCATTTTCAACCAATTGAAAGTACACATGAAGAATCGCAAAGGAAAACAATTTTCAGTATCGGTAAGTTTTTTGTGTGTAGTATTATTTCATTTTGTTAATAATATTAAAAATAAATATTTTATAGATTCTGGTCATGTTGTATCAGATTCTCCATCTGATTTATCACCGTGTACATCACCATCATGGAAAAAAATTCCAGTATCGAATATTCCATCAAAAATAATCTTATCAAACCGATTTAATTCGGTAAAAGCGATGGGAAAACTCATTTTGATGTTATTTTTAACATTGAAGATCATTTTTGTTTCAGACTTATTTTCGTAGTCCATGTTTGAAGTGTGGCTCATCGACTTATAGTGACGATGTTGTTTCTGTTGAAAAATATAATTTTCATAAACATTGTATAATTTGTTCAATTTGTGGAAAAATGTTGAGAGAGAATGAATATACATTATTTGATAAAGCGAATGATGGAACAATTCAATTTTATTGTACACTTGATTTTTGTAAAAGACGTTTAAAACAAGTACAAACAAATATAGCGACAAATATTCAAAATGGTATGTTTTCGAATGTTTGACCATTGGGCACTTCTACAATATATATGCATATATATTTCATTTAGAAAAAGAGCAATTACATTTATCAGAATCATCACGTCTATATCCAAAGCTAAGTTATTGTGAAAAAGATAATGCGGATAACAAGAATCGAAGAAATACAACAACGTTAACCACTTCACCGTCGACGATAACATCATCTATTCCACAGCAATCACTTTCAACATCGTGGTCGAGTAGTTTTCGTTTATATCCGTCGCTTACAGATGCTCTATCAAAAAAATCACACCCATTAAACTTTGTTAAACTACCGTACACAGATAATAATGGAGAGAATAATAATGAACATCAACGATCATTGTTCAACACAAATATTGGTAATTTTAAATAAAAAATATCATATTTACACTTTTTGTTGGATTTTTTAATTGTTTAGGTTTTGAAAAGAGTGAAATGTTTGCTGAATCGACAGCAGAGTTGACACAACATTTGGCAGCAACAACGTTGAATAAAACAAGTGACAGCAAACAACGCTTTAAAAGAAGATCTCGTGACAGACCAGATACACCACCAATGCTACAGACAGTCATCAATAAGACACAACATGTAAAAGAATTATAAGCACACTTTTTATCGAATATTTAGAATGTTTTTCTCTTTATTCAGTCATCGTCAAATCAACAGTCAGAATTTGATCAAAGTAAGTCTATTGTATGCAATCAATCAATTAACCCCCTCCCCCCCATAGTAGAAGACCACCTGGTCTTCTATTTTGCCCGGGAAGTCGAATTCTAAAGGTGGCCTTCTATTGCGGCTAAGTTTTGTCGCCTGGTAGTAGTCCAACAGTAACCTCTCATATACTTGAAGTCCACCCACTATTACAAGAACATTTTGACGAAATTTTTTGAAAATTACCCTATTTTGCCGAATTTTTTTAGCGGCCATAATAGAAGATCAGTGGTCTTCTTCTGGGGAGAGAATTAGAAGCAGAGTTGGAACCGATCTAAAACTAAGAGACCGGATCGGACAGGCCGGCCTTCACGTCTTTTTAGACCGGTGAAAAACCGGCAAAAAACCGGTCGGTTTTCAAAAATTTCCTAGGCCGGTGAAAACCTGGCCGGGTTGAGAACTTTTATCAGTAAAACTAAATTTCTTTAACGAAAACGGGGTATTCACTAGCTTTTTCTTATTTCTCTTAGTTTCTGTTGAATGAAGACGAGAAAAATGCTAAAAATTCTGAAAACGGCAAAAAATCGGTCGACACCGGTCGGTCTGAAAAGTTTTCTAGACCGGCAACAGACGGGCGGAGACCAGCCGGTCTGCTGGTTCCAACTCTGGTCGGAAGACCATGGTCTTCTATTTGGCTTTCAAGTCATATAATCGGCAGTGGTCTTCTAATAGAGGATGGTCTTCTATTATGGGCATGAAAAACGCGTAACTCTGCTACCGGAGTGTCTGTGTGTTACCGTTTTTTCTCTTTTCGTTTATCCTATAATATACGGAGGAAATATCGTAGAAATCCTGGAAAGCGTCTTGTTTTGTAGGATGAAGTGCGTTCTTCAAAATCGACCACCAGCTCAATTCGAAATAACTGACGCTGTTTATGCTATACTTAAAGTACGAAGAGCCCCAAAAACACTGTCGTTTGGTTTTAGGGCTTTTAGTATTTCGA